GCCAGGATCGTGCCATTGCACTCCACCCTGGGTGAAGAGAAACTCAGTTTAAAAAAAAAAAAAAAAAGTATGATAATAATGTAAAATTTTAAACATTGCTACAACTTGATGAATATAGAAAAGCTTAACAATATTAAGGAGAATGTCCAATTACCTGGTCATGTCTTCCTCCAGATTCTCGAAGGCCCCTGTAATATTGATATAACCTAGACCACCACAAAACAAACATACACCATTTATGTCTCTTTAGCCTCCATTAAAAATAAGCATATAAAAATGAATCAAACTCATTTCACTTAATGATTTACACAACAATAGGTCGAACTGACTCAGTTTTAATTGTGTATAAGCACTATGGCATTCATTCAACTACTTCTCTGCTGGCTGTATGCAACCACATATATACTAAATTCAATGACGTTTATTTGCAAGAAGAAACCCACATTTGGTAAGAGGTAGTCTGTCAGCAGAAATATCAGTGTCCTTGAATTAAAATATTTTTTGGAATATGACTCCAAGATGCCATAAAAGAAAAATCTCTTGTCCTGATAAATGTCAACGCATACTTGGCACTAAGGTACATATTTAAAATCTAATACTGCATTTTTCCAGTTTTATTCTTATTTAAAAATACCAAATACAAAGAATGGTGTAGTGTGCTTATCACCCAATACTAGCAAATGCTAACATTTTTGGACAAAAAGTACATTATAAAAGTATTTCATAACTTTACCTCTAACACACACACACACACACACACACACACACACACACAGAGAGAGAGATACACAAGTACTGTTCAACATTTTGGTGTGTACGTTTTTAGATTTTCTTTTATGTATGCATGTATACACACACAAATACACACATTTATTTTTTAACAATGGAGTCATAGTTTACATTCAGTGACCAAACTTTTTCCTATCAGTATATGTATGTGTGTAACTATTTTTTCAAAGTTACAACTATTTCAGTTGTTTTCAGTATTTTACAGTTACAAGCAACGCTGTGTTAAACATATTTATACACATACGTTATAAATATGCAAAGAGTAAATATTTTATAGGATAAATTGTCACAATCAAGCCTGCAAAAATTTATGTTAAAACAAAAGGGCCTGTTTCAGATGAGTCTGATTTCGACAGGTATGGGAAAGAAGGGAGAAAGTATTTCTAGCAAAGTGAACAATATGGACAAAAGTCAATGGCAAGTTTGAAGAATGGGTAAGCCTGTTTTTGACTGGAGTATGTTGTGTCGACGGAAGGAGGTGGTTATGTAGCTGGAAAGAGAATCTGGGTCCCGCAGGTACGGTGCAAGAAAAACAGACCAGCAGTCACTCGACAGTTTTGAGCACAATAGGATATAATTATAAGTATGTTCTACGAGAGTTTAGCCACCAGCAATGCACATGATTAACCGGAATTTGGAGAGATGAAGGGACTTCAGTTACTATAACTATGTAGGGAAAGATAGTCTAAATAAGAAGAGGAAAGAAAGCAAGTACTTACAAAATTTATAGGGGAAGAAGTTATAGGACTTAGCAACTGACAGAATAAAAGTAGAGAGAGTAAAAATATTAAAAATGATCAAAACGTCAAGCCTCAGCATTTGCAGAATGCTAGTGTCATGGTGGGAAACGAGAAGTCAGCAAAAAGAGCTGCTCTGGTCGGAGGAGAGATTATTAGTTCAGTCTTGAACATTTTTGTTTTGCAGTTCCTAGCACATTCAATTGAAGATGTCCAGTAAGTATTCAGACTGTAGCTTTCCAGTTTTAGAGAGAGTTCAGATCTAAAGATTTAGGATTCATGAGCTAGAGGCCATAGCTAAATTCAGGAAATTAAAAAAAAAAAAAATCCATCTCTCCTCACCCATAAGGACAGGCTGGCAGATAAGGAGAAAACAGCAGGCCAAGCACAGAACCCTAGAGAAAACTCCGCTAAAGAGTAAGACAGAAAGTAAGGAAGAAACAAAAAGATGCAGAGGCATAGCAAAACATTCAAGAGGGATTCCTGACTGCTTTGTCTTATGTCAGTACAACAATAAACTTATTCAGATTGAATTTTTATTTCGATCAGTTGTAAGATTTTTTCTGCTCCATAATTTCAAAAATGAAACAAGATATTGAATACTCAGGTGAGGATTTTTCTCCAAATCAATCTTGGGAAACCTTACATTATAGATTGTTTGTCTCCTCTATTTAGCCAGGAAATGTTTCTAGATAATATTAATTGTTGCCAGTAGGTCACTACCAAATCAAGACCAGTTTTCAGGTCTAACTAAATATCTGTTTTCTACTCATTGCCACTACCAGTTTTCTCAATTCTCAAGATTAGAAACCAAGAGAATTTAAACAAATGTTCCTCACCAATGATGGCTTCTTAAGTCTACATTCATTTCTACATAGCTCAAAAAGTAAAAAATTTTCTGGAACGTCAAAATTGCCTCCTTTATGTTTATATGTTTAATTATACCATACCTATAGTTTCAGCCATCAAAATACATAGAAGACAAGTCTAGCACCAAGTTCCTTTTATATGTGCTTCACCTGTCAAAGCATACCAATAAAAAAAAATTGGGTATACAGCAAAGAAATATAAATCATTCTATTATAAAGACAGACGCATGTGTAAGTTCAGTGTAGCACTATTCACAATACCAAAGTCATGGAATAAACCTAAATGCCAATCAATGACAGACTGGATAAAGAAAAGGTGATACACAGATGCCGTGGAATACTATGTAGCAATAAAGAAACAATGAGATCATGTCCTTTGCCAGGACATGGATGGATCTGGAGGCCATTATCCTTAGCAAACTAACACAGGAAGAGAAAACCAAATACCACACGTTCTCACTTACAAGTGGGAGATAAGAACACATGGACACACAGAGGGGAATGACACACACCAGGGCTTTTCAGAGTGTGGAAGGTTAGAGGAGGGAGAGAATCAGGAAAAATAACTAGTGGGTACTAGTGCTTAATACTTGATGAAATAAATAATCTGCACACAAAAAAAAACCCATGACATAAGTTTACCTATGTAACTGTATTAGTCTGTCATTATGCTGCTAATAAAAACATACCTGAGACTGGGTAATTTATAAAGAAAAAGAGGTTTAATGGACTCACAGTTCCACATGGCTGGGGAGGCCTCACAATCATGGCAGAAGGCAAAGGAAGAGCAAAGGCATGTCTTACATGGTGGCAGTCAAGAGGGCATGTGCAAGGGAACTCCCCTTTATAAAACCTTTATGCAGTGGACTGTCATTAAAGGTTAACACCAGTATGTAGGACCTCATTATCCTGGTTCTTCTACTTCTACCACTCTGATGCTTCTCCCTTAATCTCAGCACTGACCCCTTATGCTCTCCCTCTTTCCTACACACTGGTGTTTCCCAGAACTCCATGCAGGCTCCAGGCTGACCTCAGCCACTTCCACAGCTTCAATCACTCCCAAATCTATCTAGAGCTATTCAATTCCTCTCTCTCTTCACAGTTAATGCTCTGGTTCGAGTCCCCATCATTTCTTACCTCTACTGTAACAAAAGCCTCCTAACTAGTCTTTCTACCCAAGTTAGGTGTTCATATTGCTGTCAGATTTTATATTTGAAAACAAAAATATAATCATAGCACTTCCATCAATGACAGTCCACTGAATAAAGGACAAAGCTCAAGATCCACGATACATCACGTTAGTTCCTTTGCAATCTTGCCAAAATATGCTCACGAAAGAAAATATATTTGAAGTATCAACAATGATTTATCAGATATTTTCTTTATCCCCACACCTATCTCCTCATTTCAGTAGCTAGAGCACTATGCAGTCACTGTCTTCAGAGAGGGCTGCTGCTGCATTAAAAAAATATATTGTGTAGGTTTCTTCTTGGCTTTTATGTTCCCAAAGACTATGCCTTTGAGGGTTGAAGAAGAAAGAAGCTGAGCATGACAGAATATTTTGTTTAAATTTCATGAGATTAAGCTCTACTCTTTCAGACTGAAAAAATATTTTCCACATGCTGAGAAGAAAATAAGTAGTCGAGAATTGATAACTGCATAGGCATTAGAGTGTCCAGGAAAAAGATGCCCTGCCTCTTGCTACCAAAGCAGACCCTAGAGCAAGACCTTAGAAAAGGAAATGTGTAGTGAGTTGAAGGGATGGCTTTAGAACAGCTTCCAAGAGTCTCCTTGGACCTAGAGAGATATTGAAGAAACAGAATGACATCAAAGTTTCTAAGAGAGGAGGACAAGAGAGCTTGATGGAAAGCCTGTGTAGGTGATGCTAAACAAAACTTGGCCTTATCACTCATCTGAAACTATGTTGGCCTCCAAGACACACTCCTGGGAAAGGTGAGGGCTATCCCAAAATAACTGAGACTGGGTTTCTGCCACATTTACTGAAGAGGGACTCAAAATGGAAATTATGTTACACAAAATAAAAGTTATGATTTTTGCACAGTTGAGTTCTCGAATAATAGTTATATTTGCTACATCCCTTTCTAGCCTCAACTCACTTCACTCCCTCATCCCCATCTTCACCAGCATTTCCCACTTCTGTGTAGCCATGGCTGTAAGCACACCAAAGGGTTTACTCTTCCCTAACTATCCTATTTGCCTCCTTCAAGGCTTTATCCATTCTGCTGTCTCCAGCTGGAATGCCCTTTACCAAAATTTTTCTCCTGGGAAATACTCTTCCTCCACGAATAAAGTATTATATCATCATACCCCTACCAGAGTGATTCATCTTGTAACAGAACTCCATAGTAATTGACACATGATTCAACTTACTAAGTCAGTACAAAAATAGAAGTATGACTATTTATATCTGTCTCTTCTTCCCACTTTCACTGGTGTGAGGTCATAGAAAACTGAACTATATCTTGCTTATCTTTATATATCCAGAGCCCAACTCATTGTATCTGCTATAACTTAGCCTATCCCAAAAATTTACAAGTGGTTTCACAGAGCTACTACACATGCCAGACCATTTATCAAAATATTCCATCCAACCTTTCTCCTATTTCGTATATAAAGTGTCTCACATATTGTAAGATTACAGAGAGATACATTAGACTACTCACCTCGTAAGAAAAGGCTTTTCTAAACCCAAGCAAAACTTTAAAGAATTTTATCAGATCCAAATACTTCAGTTGATTTAGTAACTTTAATAACTGAACACTTAAGAACAGTATGATAGAAAATGCATAA